GGAAACCCCATTCCATGCAGCTAAAGGATTTAAAAATAAAGGACCATTGCGGGCTGTTTCTGGAGAAGAGAGAGAACACTTGAAGGATGATCCGGACCAAAGCATCGGGAAAACCACATCCACCCCTCCCCATCAAATCTTTGTGGGAAGAATTCTCCTTGTTGCTGGCCGAAATTGGCATGATCGACCATGTGGTACTATAGATAGACCCAGGTCGAGATGCCGACTTACATACAGATGGATCCATCAAATTGCATGGCCAAATGCTTGGGCCTGAAAAAAGAGGGAGAGGGAAGAGGAGAGGTACCTCCCTATACTACTTACTACTTGTATTACATACCTGATCCTAAATGTGCTTTCAGCTCCGTGGGCAGTCTCATCCACTTGTTCACAATCCGTCTTGATCGCTCGGCTATTTGAGACAGACGAAGCCAGTTGCTTGGGCAAACAGTTGAATTCATTGGAGAAGCCAACGAATAGCTATTTCCGTCCCTCGATGTGCTCGCTCATACTAGCCAGCCGCCTGGCACCACGAGTGTTTTCAACATGGAGATGTCTATCGGTGCACAGCGCCTTGTCGGTCCAACACTTGCACAATGCCGAAACTTTGAAAAGAACTATGATTATACAGTTGGCCACCTCTTCCTTCTCTTGGGGTGCCTTTGTCGGTTCCTTCGTCGGTTCCTTGCTCCCTATTTCCCCCTCCAAGCCAAAGTGGACCGAGAATCTTGGCAGGTGCTTCCTGCTTCAACGTTAGGGCAGCTTGGGCAGGTGGGCCATGGAAGAACACTGCACCAAACATCGCCCGTGCTGGCCAGATCCTTGTCTTCCCATCCATCAGACGACCCACATTCCTTTTTTTCTTTCCCTTTTTTGAAGGGATCTCCACTCACCCTGTTGGACGGCGAGTGGAGAGCACAGGCACTAACTTGTATGAGGCCCTCCGGTTGTTACTTGATAAGGGACGCGGAAGGGGAAAAGGTTTTTGACGACGGCGGGATCAACATGATTAGCTCTCGCGTGAGGGACTGATCCTCTTCCGGTAACTCTTTCACTAGGACCAGCCAGGGGTGCCCGCCAACCAATGTCACCCCAACTGTGCCTGGAAGCTCTCGGTGCGCTCTCGATCTCGCTTTCTCGCCACTCACAAGATGGCAGTTTGAAAAAACGCTGTCGCCCCCTCCATCTCCATCCACCCTACCGTCACATCGTCACACACCATTTTCCATCAAGGCTAGGCTCTGCAAAGTTAGAGGCTCCTTCTGAGATATAGATAGAACACTATTCCTCCCCGCTCGAAAGTAAGACAAGAGACAAGCTTCTGCGAGCCCTCAAGACCCCTTTTGACGATCCACGGATGGGTGCATTTTGCGCCTGGACTGCGACATGGCGACAGGCGACCAAAGGACGGAAATGGAGCATTACCAGACGGGAAGGATATTCCTAGATGCCGGCCCCGTCTTCGACAGCCCCTCAACCCCCATTAAGAGCATTATTAATATTAGATGCTTGTGTCGGTTCCCAGGTTCCAACGGGGTCGTGTGGTAACCCACACTCGCTGCAACCTAGCCCGTAGCGGTGTCTTAGCATGACGAGGAGCCAGGGCCTTCCTAGTGCTCCTGGCATGTTTCGTTCTTGGTCGACTGAGCGTCGACATCACATTGATACTTCGTACATCCAGGATGCACACCACCACACAACCAAGAACGGGTTCCGTCAAAACGGGAACTCGCGAGAAAAGCATTGATAAGAGGTTGCGTTTTAAAAAAGTGTCCTCAGTCTCGATAACCCCTAGTTAGCATACCCACGCACTATTGGTCACAGGCTGGGCGCTAGGGTGCCGGTGATGTTTTGTTTGTCGTTTTGCCATCAAGATTCCCATGACATTGAAGTTTAAAAAGCTTGGGGTGCGTCTGTGAAATCTCGTGGAGCCCTTCAAGGTGACATGCGTGACTTCAATGTTGAGCAAAAGGGGAACAGAGAGTCCCACTTCCTTGCCCATGCCCACCCCCCTTCTACCCCCTCATATTTCGGCTCCGGCATAGCTCGGCCAGGGGGCGGAAGGGGAGGGCAAGTTGATAACCCTTCCCGCTATTACGCTTGACGGTGCATCTTTGCTCCTCTTTGAACGGGTCGGTTTTCTCAGGGATGTCACTGAATGTCCGTGCTTCACAAGGTGCCTTTGCAGGCCGGGGCCTGGCAATGTCAAGCAGAAATCACATTGATCCAAGGAGCACATCAATATTAGCACATGCACCAGCAACCGGCACACACCCGCGCATCAACACGAGATTTTGTCAAAATGGGAAACATTGGATAAACCTTGAACCATCTCGCGTCCACCACTTGTAGAGGTAGAGGTAGAGACAGACATAGACTAGAGGGGTGAACATGCCGTTATGGGCTGTCGTGCAAAACCTGTGAATTGGCCCCATTTCCCCATTTCCCCTCTCGCCGGCTCCCGCCCAATGGAATGTTTTACAGGGCCTAGTTTGGAGTTGGTGAGGGGGGATGGATAGAATGGGATATTTTTAAAAACAACCCAGCTACCCTGGTCACATATTCCACTTGCGATTGTCCCTTGCCGAAAGGAAGATGATCCTCCTCGAACTATTCAAGATCAGAATAAGAAATAATAATACTTGTCGGTCTGTGATGAGTGTCGCTTGGCCCGTATCTCGCACCCGGAGCCCCGTCACTCCCTCCATGACGGCGACTGGGCGAGTCGACTCTTGGGACGGAGAGATGTTGGCCCCTCCCCTGTCTGCCATGACTGAGTGATTATCCCAGTCCCCACACAGTACCTCGGTAGGTTGCTATTTACATCGATGGGACCAATGCAACGTGCGTGTTTCTGGGTTTATACATCCAATGGATGGAATGGATCCGTCCATCGATAGATCAACTTGTGTTCTTTGCCTTTGCTTCTGGACTCTGTAATACCACCCGTGGTCAGAGTGGGGGCGCTGGTGGAGCCCAGCTGGAGCCTGGTATTCTAAATTGACGTCCGAACGATGTTCCTGTTCCAATTCAGTATCCATAGTAGATGTTCTGTCGGGAATAATACACCGCGGAAAGAACTGGGGCACAACTGATAGAGATTCGCATTTCTTGGTGGAGAGTGCGTCCACGCTTGGAATAGATCCGTCATACTGAATCACTTCATCTATTCCTTTTCCAAAGCTAGCCCATGCCCCAGGAGCCACACCGTCACAAACCACGCCCCCCTTTTTAAACGTTCTTCTAGAGCTACCCCTTTGGAACACCGATGAACCTCCAGGCCCACGCCCCAGCGCGCTCGCGCTCGCGAGAAGAGTTGCGAAGCAAGCGGACCGTCGCTGGCCGTTGAAGATGACGGAATGCTAATTATTGTCGGCGTTTTTCGTTTTCCGCTCCCGCCCCCTCTCTTCGACGGTTGGTCAAGTGCCCAAAAGGATTGATCCAGTGTCGATGCGATGGCCGACACATTGGTACGGCGGGCGACTTTCCCATGAAAGTCGGAGGCACGTTGTTGATTTTTGTCGATACACATGCCATGTTTGTCGCCATTTCCACCTGTAGGGCTTGGCGGCCGTTGGTGCGGCGAGCGGCCTCTTTGAATCAACTAGATGCTGTTCGGTGTCGATGGCCTGCACATGGGGTCAATCATTCCTGGTGTCTTGTCCCCATCAATGACCCATGGATCCATTGATGGGTGATTTGGGGAAGTGGGTACCACCACTTGCACCACTGGCCTGGCCCTGGCCACAGTGAACCTCGACTGGAGTGTTCAAATGCCTTTGAAAGGGCGCCGTCGCTTAGGAAAGATGCGGGTTCAATGTTCACTCCCGCGGTGGTGGGTGGGACGCCGTGGGGCTCGGGCTCCTGGACTGTACTTGGAGGGTACTTGACAGGTTCGACCTTGCAGTTGCAAATGATGACCCTTCAAATCTTGACCCACAGCGAACATTGAACCGACATCCACCTCGACCCTCTTGGCCTCCCCTGCCCCCAGTGTGATTGTCGCATCAACGCCCACCGGGACGGACGCGATGGTCAATGACTCGAGGTGCACTGTTCTCAAAGTACCCACCCGACCACCATTCCGACGCCGTTGCACATTCGAGCGAGCCGTCTAGTTGTAGAGTAGTTTCCTTTTGCTCACTTTCACTTACACGACAAACCTTACCCCCTTCCCTTCCCTTACCTCCCCCGGGGCCCACTCGACAAACGCCCCTGCCGCGAGGAGGGCTGGCTAAGCCTCGACGTACCTCCCCATTCTTTTCACCGTCGACCTCGGAGGACGGCCATGTGTTCTCCCGCGTCACTGAGACCGCCCGTCGGCACTCGTGAGCCTCGCCGTGACGAAGAAAGCTCTCCCCTGCCTTCCCCGTGCAGTCTGCCCTATAGCTAGGGCGAACTGCGTCGGGGATGGCCGCACAATCTAAACCCACCCTCACGGGTCTGGTTTCCGTCATTGCTTCTTTCCTTCTCCCTTTGACTAGTTTAGACCGCTTTCCTTTCCACCACCCCCTCCTCCTTCTCCTTTCATCCCTCCCCCCTCTTCCCGCCCTGAGCTCGATTTAGAACTGGCAAGTGGATCGCCGGACCCGGACAACGAGATCCCTTGTCGGAGATCTACATATATATCTGTCGCGCGCCCATCCACATCCACATGCCTTTACATCAGAGCAAGCCTCTTACACCACATCCTCATCCTCACCCTCACCTTACACATCGACATCCTCCTCATATCGAACGCGACTCCATCGGCCCAGCGCCCTACCAGCGTCTCGCTTCTTCTCTTTGTAGTCGCTCCCTTTTCTTTCGAGGGCAACCGGAATTGCTTCCCAGTCCTCTTGAATGCTTTTTTCCATTCTCACACTGTCATCTCACCTCCGCTAGATGACTTCTCTTGAACCTTCGCATCTTTCGTCCTGTTCCCACGCGTTCCTTGAGAGTAGGGTATGAGGGGTTACTGCGCGCCGAGATCCTTTCCTTGAGTCAAGTTCGCATTGTACATGTCAAGAAGCGCCTCGACCGAACCACCACCGAACCAGAGCCCCATCCCTTCCATCCTCGTCCGAAGCGCATCACCCCGTGGACCGGAACAGTCTCTGACAAGCTCCCTGGCCCATAACCCTCATCTCCCGGAGACTCCACCGTCCTCGACTCTCCAGGTACCCAAAAGAAGCAGCCAGAAGCGTACCTATTCCGAAGCGAACCTTTCAACCGCGGAAAACGTCCCAAGGAAGATCATGGCTCCTCGATCCTCCAAGAAGGAAGGCGAGTCTAGTTCCAAGAAGTTGAGCGCTTCCTCGTCTGTTTCCAAAGCCAAGTCTAAGTCTAAGCCGACGACGGATGACTGGACCGAGGTCACCGAGCCTGAAGAGAGGCGCCGAATTCAAAACAAACTTGCGCAAAGAAAATTCCGTACGTATCAGGTCCCCTCTGCAACCCCCATCACAGACCCATTTCATCCCAGAGCATCACCGCGCCAGTCCGCTTACACGCACCTTGTGTCCATTATAGGTGAAAAGAATCGAGAGAGCAAGGAACGGGCGGAGCGTGACGCCAGGAACCAGCAGCACGCAGGCAGCTGCTACCAAGTCCCCGCGCCAAGCGACGTGACCTCTGAGCATGAAGTATCCGGCCTTCCGTGGGGAACTTTCTCTATGCGACACGTAGTCTCTCGAGGCCACGAAGCTGAAAGCCGACGAAGCAGTGGCAGGGACGACTACCTTCGCGAAGACGGCCGATACCAGCCAACCCCGTTTGCCGAAAACATGCCTTATTCTGCAGGAGCGCCCTCGTATCAGCAGCACGGCGGGAGTTTTGGCGGAAGCAGCACGGGGAGGACGGCTACTACGAGACAGACCCGCAGTTATTCTATGACTACGGTTCCTCAGGTATCCCAACCCACCAGCAGCAATACCCTCCACCTCCACAGCAAGGTGGGAAATGACAAGAGCACGTAGTCATTTCTATTGTTTTTTAGGCCTTTGCAAGAACATCTCGCAGACTAACACGCTCTTCGTCAATAGGTCACTTTGTAACGGACCAGTTCCACGCGACTGCGTGGCCCGAAAGCCCAGCCTTTGCTCCGATCCTACCCCCGAGCCTTCCACTCTCTAGTCCAGAGATACAACAAATCTACTATTAGCCTCACTTTCGACGGTCACCGGGATGCTCACCACGATAGATGCAAAATCGAGCCGATACCAGGTCCCGGTCCGGCTTACTCCCTTGATCTCACCGCATTCGATGGCTGGTACTACGGAAGCATACTCGCAGTGACTGCGTTGCCGGCTTGCCCAGCGCTTCTTTCTTTCTTTTTCTTTTTCTTTTTCTTTCGCTTCATCCTTGGTCTATTTCCTTGCCCCTCTCCACTTTTCGCAGAAGGACACTCTCCTTTCTATACTCTCTCTACTTCTTTCGTTGTTCCGGTTTTTGTTTGTTTGATTCCCTGGAAACTACTGGGTATTTGGAATCTCTGAGCGGTCATTTCACTTTTGGGTACAAGGCTATGCCTTGCGTTATAGGGCCATTCTTTCTTTCTTCTTTCTTCTTTTTGGGAGCTTGCTGCATTCTCTCCTCGATTTGTTTCTTTTTTCCTTTCGTCTTGGCGATCGTACTAGAAGCATATCACGGTTGTTTACGGGAACATGGGGGACTCTATTTGATGGCTTATGATATCAGCGGGCGGAGTTTGGGGCGAACGGTTACAACATCAACATGAACTCACTTTAGCGCGGCGAATCTCACGGGGGTCTTTTTTCGTTGTTTTTCTTTCTTTTTTGGTCATTTTCCACTCCATTCTTTTAGTTCGGAGTTTTCTAACGTATGGCGGGAGAGTTCGAGGAGGCTTCTTTTTCTGTCATTGATGGCAATAGTACCCCATACCACTGAACGTGTAGATGCTTGTTCCACTCAACCTCCTTTCTCTCCCTTCTCCGTGACGAGCCAAGATGTAACGTGACATACTTAGGAGCGAAGTGCTGTTTGAGACCTGAATACTTGCCACGAAGGGGGTCTCCCCCAGCAAGGGCGCTGCCTTGCCTAAGTGTTTTCTGGGTGCGACCCAGGCTGTGGCGTAAACGTGGGGTCGGCACTCAATTATACCATGAGCAGCGGCGTGGAACTACTTGGGGAGGGCCATGACGGCCGACGACTGGGTGATGTTACGAGGTTAAGAGTCGTACAAGGAAGGGCATCGAGTGTCCCGGAAAAGCAAAAAGAATTGGTTGCAGAGTGGCTTGAGGAAGGGCCGCCGTAGAGCCGGGCTGTACCACGTACCCTTGGACAACACTGAAGTCGTGTGGCTAGCGAGGGCGTATTCCGTGGCGAACTGGGCAACGGAAAAACAGCCTGAGCGCCAGTGAGGGTCACGGGGGAGGGGGCTTAACATGGTTCAAGTTCTGAAGGTGGTGACGCGCCAGGGCCGGGCGATGAGGGAGGGTGGTTGTAGGGCATTCGGCTCATGTTCTTGAGAGCCAGCCGATCTTGATCTGCGCCGCGTGCCATTTTTGAGGGTCGTTTATATGGCTGAAGATGACATTGGTTGTCGACTCTTTGGGCTGTCTCGAGGGGAAATTAGAGGTTGGAGGTCATACGCTAGGTCTCCCCAAGTTCGGAGTATCGGGCCAAAAATGATATCATAGGATTCGGCACTAAAAAATGTACAGTGAGGTTTTGTTGGTTTTTACGGTCGACGGCGCGGTACCTTGTTGGTTAAGGGCGGCACATCACAGAGCTAGAAGAAATAACTTTATGAAGCTCGAAGAGGGTGAATAAGTCAAGAGGCGGGAGGGTAGCGTACTAGTATCTCAAGGAATAGCATGAAGGGAAAGAGTAACGGTTAGATAAAGATATTCTTGACTGGCCGGCACGAGAGCCGGGCGATAGATCTCGAGGGAAATGTCACAGAAGATATCGAGGTGTTCGTAGTGAGGTTCATAAGAATATCGCCGGTTGGGCTAACTAGTTTGATTGACATCACCATGTGGCGCACTCGCTCTTCTGCGACCACTAATTTGGCATGCCCTTTGCAGGCTACCTTGGGGGCCGCTGCTGGTCTAGGTTCCCCGCAGCGAGGGGATTATGCAACTCGAAAAAAGGAGGAACTGGGACATCGGGTCTGTGGCAAATAATAGCGCTTGGTTGTTTGCGAGAAGCGGAATGTTCATTGCTGCAGCACTTGAGAGCTCCATCCCATCAAAGTGATTAAACGTGGGATGAATTCAATTTGCAAGGTTCACTCTTCCAAGAAAAAGATGCCCCACCAGCCCACCACCCTGGAGCTGCGGCCTCACCGCCCGGCAATATTTGGTCAATCCAACTTTTTTGGGCCCCTCTCAACCTCTGGACCATCGTCACATTGACGGCCCTTTCTTCTTTTTCTTTTTCCTCCCCTTTTCCTTCCTACCATCTTTTGTATGCGCCGGATGTGCATGAAACAACCTATTTTGATATAGAGACTCGCTCTTCCATACAGCAACAGCCTCTCCATACCGTACCGTACAGCCTGGCCATATTCTGGCACCTGGAGTTCCTTCTTCTTTGGAGCTGTAGCACTGTGAGTTCGTAGCTCCTAGTGTGGGATTTGGTCCAAGATGGACAACCTCTCGAAAAAGAGCTCAAAAGCTCAAAAGAAGGCTAAGAAAGCCGACATCGAGTCTCAAAAAGTGAAGCGTACGAGAACGCGGGGGCTAGTGCCTTGGCGCAAGCTGAGAAGCTAGAAGCTAAGGCGGCAAAGCTGCTCGAAGAGGCTGCTGCTTTGAGGGCTCAATTCCTTGACAAGGTACGTTCGAGGGGATGGTGCTCTGGGAGTTGAGGCGGGGGTGTAGGACTAAATTATCAAAAGCAGACATCTCAGGCTCGCACCACCGTGACCAACGAAAGTAGTGACGAAGAGAGCGACCGTGTAGTCTTGACGCCCGGTTCCGAGTCTAGTACATCCGATCCTGCGAACATTGTCACGGAGGATGCTGCTGCGGTCGAGGAGGCGATAGCGGCACAGCTACGAGAAACATCCCAGGCTGCAGAAGTGTCTGAAGGTCTAGATCGCATGGAGATTGACGAAGAGCTCGCGCAAGCGAATAAGCAGAAGAAGAAAATGAAGGAAAAGAAGAAAAAGAAGAATAAGGAGAAGGAGAAGGCAAAGGAGGAGGTTCCCATCACTGTCGAATCCCCTGATAGTGACGTTGTTGCTGGCCTGCCGACCGGTAGCGCAATGTCTATCGAAGAGGATTCTGTTCCTGAAGCTAAAAAGGCTAAAAAGGAGAAGAAGAAGCAGAAGCAGAAACAGAAGAATAAGGGCAAGGACCAGGATGATCATCAACCCGAGAACGAGGTCGCTGGTCAGGCCGAGATAATCCCCACAGAAACTCAACATTTGGACGAAGGGCAAACCCCGAAAGCCCGGGAGAAGAAGGAAAAGAAAGCGAAAAAGGAAGAAAAGAAGCGGAAGCGTGATGCGGGGCTTGAAATCGACGACTCGGATTCAGGACCGGACCTGGACCCGGTGAAGCAAAAGAAGGCCAAAAGGACAAGCAGAATAAAAAGGCCAGCAAGGCGAAGAAAGAAACGGCTACAGCGGTTGCTGCGCCCGAGGACCATCCTTCCGGAGCAACTCAAGCTACCCCAGCAAACTGGAATGTCAACGCCCTGGAGGGTGGGGCAGCGCGTCAAAGCAAGTTCATGAGGCTCCTAGGCGGTGGGAAGGCGGGTACCGGCCAAGGCCAAGGCGTGGCCTCTTCTCTTTCCGGCTTTGACGTTAAACGAGTTGAGCACGACCTTCAAAGACAGTACGATACTGGACTCCAGATGAAGTTTGATGGCCAGGGCAAGCGAAGAGGTCTCGGTGCATAACCCGAGAGACTGGGATGACCTGGTAAGGTGGGACAGGCGAAATAGGGGTGGGGGTGGGGGTTCTCTCTGATACATACAAGGCAACGCAGGTATCGAGGGCGAGAAAAGCTTATGGATTGGGAGGTTTCTCCCGTGGCAGTGGTCTTTTGTAACACCATTTTACGGCTATCATGTTCGCGTTCGTAGCCAAGTATCAACCGGCAAATTCAAACAACAATATCTACCGTGAATTGTAGCCAAGGTCGAAACCCTTTCCCTCATTAAATCAAATATTGAAACGCCAGATGCCCAGTAATACATTTAATATAGTTCGAGGAGTGCCGTCTGATGTCACGGCACCGCCTAGCCTTTTGTCCAATGGCTCAGTTTCTCCCCTTCTCAAGATTGGAGCCAAGTACCATTTGCGATGGTCTCAATAAGACCCCACCAAGTATACATATCGAATCGTGTTCTGGACGCGACTATCGGAAGAAGCGAGAGATGAGCTCGAAGATTAAGCTGCCAAAGATGGCGAACCCAAGAATAACTGCAGGCCACATGTTAGTCGACGTCGGCGTGGGGCTAGATGATGCGGTTTTGGGGTAGGGGATAGCGCAAAAGAGGCGATCATGCGAGCTCCGGAACCCGGCTGTTGGCGGAAGCCAAAGGCAGGTATGGGATATACTGGAGCTTGGTGGGAGGCTTTGGAGGGTAGTGGAGGTGGTGGTGAAGGAAAGGACCAGGCTCTGCTACTTACCAACCCAGACGGGCGAGATGGGCGACTTCGTGACCTCCTTGCCTCGCTTCTTAACCTCCTCTGGGGCCTTGCCCATGCGAGCCTCCTGGTCCTTGGCGAACTGGGCGTTGCGACGACGTTGTTGAGGAGTTTGGACCTATCAAGGAAGGGGTTATAATCAGTATGGAGGGTGATGGAGAGGCAAGTAGCTACTATCCGAGGGGATTGGAGGGAGCGGAGAGGCGGGCCGACAAAGATCGACGGGACCGAGTCGCGCGGGAACGTACCATTGTGGCGGTTGTGCGTGAGAAGGACTTGTGTAGTCTGGAGAAGTGAAGTGATCGGAAACGAGGTGTCGAACTCTAGAAATCGGTCCAAATATATAGGCGGGGTTTCGTTGCTCAAAGGGAGGATAGTAAAGAGGCGATGTACGTCAATGAAGGGTCAATGCCTAGAATCTCGAGAGGATAGTTGAAGCGACACGTCACGTTCGAAGGCGGGCGAAGGTGTGAGAAGGAGAAGATGGAGAAAAGGGGACAGATTTCAACGAGGCTTCGCCGGGAAAGCAAGGTCGGTCAGCCCTGTGTGCTTCTGGCCATGTGTCGTCAATAATTTGGGCCTATGAGACGGCTCTGTGCCAATCCCCAAAAGGGAAGGGAAAGGGGTCAGCGAGGTCGGCAAAGAAGGGGGACCCACATGGCACGATTGGCATGGCGGATGTGTGGCGGGTGTACACTATGCCAGGGAGTACCAAGGTACCGAGCAGCAAAGAGACTGCCATTTGTCTCAATCCGGAATCTTTTGCTTGGCTGACGAACAGCAGCTGCAAATGGACAGACAGTGTGGGCGGGGGAATAATTCGGCGGAACGGCTCTCCAGCATAACCCGTCATCAACCGCAGTTTTAGCGGGTGCCTTGCAGAGCCTTTCAAAGTCTCGAGCGCGAAGAAAGCTTGGAGCATCCCCGTGTGCTGCCTCTTCGACGAGCATTTGTCGCCACATATCCCCCTCTGCGACAGCGTCCTACCTGCGAATGAACTTCCCGAGGTAACGCGGCCACGATGTTGACCAGGCGCTTATTACAGACAGCAAGGCTATCGAGTCTTCGCGTCGCGCGACTCGTACCTGGCGCCGTGCCCCGGAGCGCTCTCCGACAGCCCCAGCGATTCTCCTCAGGCAGCGCGAAACCACCATCTGTCCACGTATGGCTACACACCTCCCCCAACCCCTGCAACCCACCGTCCCCGCCCATTGCGAGCGAGTCATAGGATCTAGGCATCCAGCTAACCATTCCAAAAAAATCGCCCCGTATCCTAGAGTACCTTTTACAAGACCTTTGGCAGACCTATCGCGAAAGTTGTTCTTCTGTCGATCCTCACATACCAAGCCGTTTATCTGCTGTGGATAAAGCTCGAAGCGGACGAGACCAAGTCTTTACGTAAGGGTACGTTTGTGCGATGATGCGCTGGCGTTGGTTGTTTCGGCAAAGGCGGCCAGCGCCGAGATGGCCCAGTGTGGTATGGAAACAATGTTCTGAACTGACCTAACCAATAGCCGAGATCGCGGAGCTCGAGTCCAAGGTCGAGAAGCTTCAGGGGAGCAACAAGTCTTAAGGAGACGTTGTTGCTGCTTCTCCAGGTCGAAAAAGGACGAAGAATAAAGAAAAAAAACACACACCGTCGACGCGGGCCTCGCCGCGATTTCACATATGTTTGGCTTCCTCTGAACTAGGTGTTCCTACTCACGCGGCGCGGGAGTGCCTTCCTAGCTGGCTGGCCGTCATCTTCTCTTGATTTTGATAACGAGAGTTATATTATTGGGGATTTAAGCATCATTGTATTGATACCAAGGTAGAAAAGAGAAGGATAGACATAAAAAAGTTGAGCACCTCCTCAACAAGTACGCCAGAGCTAGCATAGGCTCGATGGGCGCCGGATATTGTGTTCAAGATCAATACAACCATGGCTTGCAGATAATAATTGATGCTAGATTTGCTTGCTCGACCCTTCGCGAGGGTACCGAGGCACTCTCTGCAAGATCTAGACCATGCGAGAGAGTATCGTTCACACAGAACATTTGAGAGCAAGAGGCGTTTAGACGCATAACTTCTCGGGCCTCGTGTTCGAAGCTTGGTGGATACGTAAGCGACCTATGTTTACCCCATTTCAACGCTGTGCAGCTCGCCGAGCGTTGGGCTGCTTTCACATGAATGTATGGCACTTAAAAACGAGTTTCATCACTCATCGGCTCAACGCTACTACCAGAATTGGCGGTGCAAGAAGGCATCTCTATCGTGTGTCACTGTCGTCTGTTTTACTCGGATTCACGTTCCTTCTTCACCCAAGCCCACCAGGGGCCTGTAGCAACGAAAGAAAAAAATCTCGCATCGAGAAAGAGTGTCAAAAATTCCCATCCGGGCATCAGCCCAAATGGAGTGGTCAAAAAAGTTTTCAACAAGCAAAAAGCGTACTCGGACGAATCCTCACTGTAACGCTTCACGCCCGTGCACAAAGATGGAGAAGGAAAGAAAAGAAAGAGAATGGAAAGAGTGGGCAGCGGTTGGCTGTATTTATGGTTTTTTGAGAGCGGTGAGCAAGGGTGCCTAATCAGTTGCTTAGATAAGCTGGTTGCCTATTCACCGCCTGAAATACTGCTGTATGGAGCCGTCCCTCTTCAGTTGAGGTCGAGTCATTAATTTCAGGCAGTTCTGAGAGGGGGAAAATGGGATGGGCCGCAACACCATAGCTCTCCTTCACTCAGACAAATCGAAGCTCTAGACAGAGGTTATATCAAGTTATATATGTGGTTGAATGGAACCCATCATCATCCGATCTAGAGAACCAAGAGATGCCTAGTGTCGAGGTCCCGGTGGTTTGCCGCAAGCATTTGATTCTCGCCATGTTCGCCCCAGCCGCAGTAACCAGCAGCTAGCAATAAACGTTTACTGTTTTCGGGGAGGGACGGAGAGGGGGCATTCGGCTATTGCTTAGGAGTGTGCATTAGCACTCATCGAGCTCGCTGTCAAGGGGATAGGAATAGGCAAACGGAAGAGTTCGAGGTCTAGGTTCAGATATTTCGAAAGCCAATTCCCCAGTCAATCAAGCGGTTGAACACACAGCGTAGTGACACGGCCGAGGTTCAACGGCGGTCTTGGTTGATTCGGTTTACCAGATGTTTCGTTCATCACAATACCCTCTCTGAGAATGTTACGACAGCTTGACATACCTTTAACGCGGAAACAACCCTCAAACACGTAAGCCCGAGGCCGGAGGATATGGTGAGCGTCAAAATATCATCGTATCTCTCTGGGCTTTTACCGCATCATTCATCCACATAACGAGGTATACAAAGCATGTCCAAGCTTGCGTTAGGTCATCACCGCATCATGGGTAGCCACACGAGAGGCCCTCGTGATGATGGTTTTAGGCAATGGAGAATTAAATCATCGATCTCGACACGCTATTCAAAGAAGCTGACAGCATGGGGGCTTTCCTAGGGAAAACTAGGCATGCCAGCTATTGTAAAGAATGGGCGGTCGTATTTGGATGAAAAGAAGAAAACGAAAAAAACTTTCCGGTGCTTCTCAAGCTGGGAGATATTCCCACAATTTGGATGGGCAAGGACCAGGCTCCACTTCAACTCACGTGATAGAGATGATGGGCTTCAATTCGGTTCAACCGAGTTGGCCTGATGTTCCTGGCCGGGAGAATCTCGATTCGGAAGTGCCATCGGAACGTGTGATTTATGGAGGGTTTGTAGAGAAAACACTGGTTTTTGAGGAGAACGGGCCATGAATCAGGTAACTAGTACTCGTTTGTGATATGCATTGTTCCAGTACACATGTATTAAGCGAAGCTTACCCGGGAAAACTCCTCTTTTCGGGGGTCAGCGACTCCTGTTGGGTGAGGCCATCCGCCACCCAAGAAGGTGGTCAGCCAGCAGCACTCCCCCAGTACCCTTGTGTTTGTTCGCTTCGGACCTGATTTCAGCGTTCCCTCGCCCTCCAACTGTCTCCGCTATCTTCACCTTTTCACCATCACGACCAACCCACGCCCCGACCAATATTTCATCGCGAAACCGGCACATTCGACGATCTTGGGCTCCGAAAATTACGGTGATCGAATCTCTCGACTTCGCTTTTATTTTTCATCGACTCGATAGCCATTCCGCCTCCCCGAAGTGTATTTTTCCTCACGCCAACCAGGAATATTCAGTGGTGCATGACGTCCAATCCCTTGGCCGACCGAGGAGATTTCGTCGCCTTTTGGCGCGATTCGGCATAAGCCCTCACTCTCATCATCTTGTGTCGGGTTCGACCATCCTCTTGGTTTAGATATCTGCGTCGCGCAAGCTGACCATTTATCTAACCGACGGCCTTTTTTCTTTCACTCTTTTTGTCCATCATTGACCACCGGCGACTGAAGACAAAAGGAGGTGCAAGCGCTCACGCCTTTGATCGTTCGAATACCGTCAACCAGCATTCTCTCCGACACCCTTTGTTCCCTTTTCAGATAAGCAGGGCAACTGTTCGCTCCTTGCCGAACAATACTCTGGCTATTTCAACCTCCGGCTTCTTCAGCTGCGCTCACGATGTCTTTTCACCATCCCCATACGCCCCAAACTCCATCACAACCATCACCGGCGAACTCCGACCCACTTGCGAGCACCTCAACATCTATGACTTCTATCACGAGTGCCCTTCCCACACCTGCACACAGCGTCACAGGAGCTAGCTCTCAGCCTTCCGATATGGCTCACGATTTATCCATGATGGATGCCGACAACAGCCTCACCCCTAACAAGAGGAAGAGACTGATGGAAGATCTTGGTGATCATGCGATAAAAAGATGCACCTCAACACACCGCCTCTTGGTATTGAGGACATCCATATTGACGTGGGCGAAAAATACCTGCTCTGCAATCGCCCCATTCGGGCCCCTCAATATTCATCAGCGGATGACTTGTTTGAGATCTTCAATCTCACCCCCTTGCCACCAAAATGGCACGAGAAAAGCCAAACGGCGAAAAGAATGCGCTGCGAAAAGTTTCAAGAGCCAGGTCAAGGAGCTGGCCATTGATGGTGCCTATGATACGAAAAAGGACGAACGACCCGACAACGATCCTGATGGGTTTTTCGCGTTGCTTAATCTCCCGGAAGACGTGTGGTATGCTCACCATGTCAAGGGTAGGGAGATACAGGATGGGTTTTCGGACACTACAATGGCTAGCCTCCCCAAGGCACTCTCAATGCTCAAGGGCAAAGTAAGGAAAGAGCACTGGGACCCCTACATCCTCGGCTCTCTCGAGTCCCCCGCCCAACTCATGGATAATTCGTCAAACACAGTGAATTCGGCAAAGGCGTCTGAACTCAACACTCCCGTGGGAGGCTCTACGCCAGCCGCATCGTCACGACTCAAGGTCATGAGCCAAACATTAGCGCCCGGGCAGGATCCTTCCCGGTCACGACGCAGCGTCAAGAAGCGACCCTTTGGAGACGGCAACGACAGCTACGGCGATGGGTTTGACGACGACGGCGGTTCTTCGACAGGGGACGGCGAGGATAGGAATGGCACGAAGCGGCGCAAAAGGTTGGTATCCGTGACTTTGCTTGGTGTTCAGTGGTTCTAACCTGGTACAGAACTCTTCCGCCCCGCAGCCGTTCTCGCAAATACGACAGCAAGGGTATGGCTCTGGGATGGTTGGCGCATAGACTGCGTCAACACCCGCCTGCCCCTCTACGTCTGTATCTAGCACGCCTGTGGAGACGGTAGTTGAACCACAAACCACTTACCTTGACCAGACGGCCACCGTTGAACATAACATTCCTCAGGAGATTCCCAGACATAGGACCCTACTTTCTCGGAGGAATGCCTTCAAAACCCAGGGTGCATCCGGAAACACTCGCCTACCAAAACAGACACGGGTCTCGGAGCCCACTGTTAGTACACTTCCGCCGCGGCCCAGCCCAAAGTTGCCCTCTAGACCTTGCCACCCTCGTACGAAGCGAACGTCGGACCGACAAAGGAAGTTCGAAACAGGGTAATTCTTAGCAGCACAGCAGCTTGTCGGCTCAACTATGCTGCCTGACACATAACTTTTTTCTCCTTCAACATATTCCACGAAGAGGCTTATAGACTCGGCTTGCCACAGTTACACACGACCTACTGAACACTTTTTTCCCATTTTTCCCCCATCAATACACTTACCCTACTGCATGAGGACCGGCGAACGGAAGGATTTGACTGCATTTCACTATTGTACAAACTATACCACACAAAGCATTGGCGGCGCCTTGCGCAACGCGCAATATACAGGCACGCCAGCCATCTGGGCAGTTGTCGACATAATCCCCACGATGATGTCCACACTCTCGACTACACATCTGGCTTGTTTCGCCGCTCATCGTTCCCCCATAATAGGAACCTTTTTTTTTTTTTTTTTCTTTTTCAATCTTCTTCGCATGGCGTTAAGGGACTGGCTTCAAAAGGGAAGGAGTCGGTTGATTTTCATTTGCACAAGATGAACCTCTGTGCAACTTAAGAGAGTTTCCATTTTTTTCTCTCTATGCTGAACATTTCACACTTCGTATGCTTTCTGCGCAAAACAAGTGCTTTTCCTCTCTTTCGTTCTTTTTTTTCTCTTTTTTCTTCTTCCACGCTGAAACCTTGATTTTCTAGTTCGTCTTTATGGTCTTTGATTTTCCTACCGTCGATACTGGCGCCCCCAATGGCTTTGAGAGCTGGAATGCATCCAGAACGAGAGGGGCGCATTCGCGCACAATGGAATTTAGAAGAAGAAGAGGATGTGGAGAAATAGCAAAAATGTTGGCCCTCGTTTGCACTCGCTTGGACAGTCCGAGCCGCCGACACGCAATGTCCCTTGCCGTGGGCAGCTTCTTAGCCTCCCACGGACGACAGGGCGGCGGAGTGCCGATTGCGGCCCTCGTGCGTCTTCATAGGGATATTGCCACTGTCTGGTGTTCAACCAACGAGGAATGCATAGCCGTTGAATCAAACGATCGAGGTTGCTTGCTAGGCTGGTTTCGTTAGACTTGCAAAATAGGCTACCGACAATCAAATAAATACATGGAAAGCCTGGTTCAAATTAATCCTGAAAAAGGGCTAAACGCGCTCGCTCGTCTCGCCCGTGCAAAATTATTATGTAGATGTAGCTGTGGCCTCTTTTTGTTATCTTTTTAAGGAGCGGTTCTTCACCGTGGACCCCGTCATTAATGACGAGACCAGGATGGCTTCAAGGTCGCCATCACGCCTACTCTGCTAAAGAAGGAAACTCTTTCCGCCCATCAGGGCGAGGGCGAGGTTGCGATATGCAACTATGCCGAGGTGCAGATAGCCGCCCGTCCCATGCCAGAATCCAACCCGGGGCCAGGCACCTCAGCTTGGCATCATCTCAGCAATGGTCCTCCTCGTCATGTCGTCCTGCACCCATCCGACGACCCTATGCCCCATATCGCCAACGAGTTTATCATAGTGCGGCCCGGGGAAGAAGAGCCCGCAGTGGGCGCCGACCTCGTCCATGCCCTCCATAAAGACGCTAACCCACGTAGAGTCGGGCTCGCCATTTCGCTTGCGCGGCAATGCGCAGAACTTGCGTGGCTTCTTCTCCTTTTTCTCGTCGATGGGTGGTGCACTTTGTGTAGCCTCGGCCGCTACGATCGCTGCAGCCTCTTTGGCGGCGGCCTTTTCTTGTTGGCGACGCTGCTTGTCCAGCAGCTTTTGTCGTTGTTTGATGAGCTTCTCTCGAGACTTGACGGCCCGCTCGTACTCTTTCTGAAGGGCCTTTGTTTCCTTTTCGGAAGCCTTTTGAGCGGCTTTGTCTGGAAAGGAGGAGGTATCTGGGGGCTGCGGAGGAGGCGTCGGTGGTGGGGGAATGTCGAGGAGTTCGGCATGTTCCATTCCGTTGTCTCCATCTGGCAAAGGCTCCAATACTGTCATTTCTGGCGGCTCGTCTTCAAGGATTGGCGATGTTGTCTGAACTGGCTGTACCTCGATTCGGTCGTTCTCGTGGAGTTCGACGGATATCCTCGGTGTTGGCAGCTTTGCTTCCACCTCTTCGCCTTCAGATCCCCGACCTTCTGCAGCACTAGGGTCTAGCGCGGCCGGTGACTCCTCCCTCTTTTCTAACTCTTCTGTACCCTGTTCAATGTCGCATTTGTCTGGTACCTCTACCTCGGATTTTGGGGGTTTTATCCTCCCCGTCGAACTGGTATAATAGTTTACGAAACGGACCCGAGCGGGCTGCAGCCGAAAATTGGGCTCGTGCGATACCATGTCATTTGTGAGGGCCTTGATATCGTCAACGTCCTCGAGAACACGCATCCGGTTGTAGCGATTATGGAGACCGGGGTAATCTGCTAGGCACGCGCCATACTCCATGTGGGACATGAAATGTTTCCCCGCCGCATTAAAGACGCCCTCGGACAAGTGTTTACGCGTAAAGTGAGCGACACTCTTGAAGAACGAGCGATCCTTCATGATGGTGTCATTGAACCAAGGTGGGTTAAAATTGGGGTCACGGGCTGACGGCGGGTTGGGAGAGGGTATCTGGCTAGGGGATTCAAGAGATAGGCGAGTGAGGTCGGATCCAGAGGTAAAGGCTGTCGGATACGACCCCGTGTCTATTATAGAATCCGTGGAGTGAAGGGTGGAGGAGGTGGTGGTGGTAGTGCTGAGCTCTTGGTTGAGCGTGGGGGTGGATCTTGTTTGAGCCAGCGCCAGTTCTGGAGGGTCGGGACTCGGCGAGCTGAGACTGGTGTTTTCGGGCGGACTTCGAAAGAGGCTGGCGATACCGGTTGGGATAATGCCCGGATGTAAGCCGAGAAACGGCGTGTCCAGGGCCACCACACCAAGGATGCGATGGCCAAATTGGTGTGATCCAAACGGGTTTGGGTTTGGCTGTGCAACACAGTGGATTAGCTCCAAGTTCGTCACATATGTGTGAAGTCAAACACGTCATCTTGGTCTTCTACGCGCTTCCATCATGGATATATATCGTACCATTAAGACCACCTCGGACGCCAGAATACCCCCATAGAGTGACCGACGAGCACAATGTCCGTGGTTTCGTCCTCGTGCGGTTCCAGCCAGGAGCTGAAACTCTTGGCGCCTACGCCAATGGCATGGTACGTTTTATACCTAGGATAGATCTTGGTATGCACGACGTGGGACTCGCGCAGCGCTTCCTTTAGATAGGCGTGCGCGTGCGCGGGAAACGAGTTGAAGGAGCGGTTGTTCCCATAGAAGCCGTGAATATAAATCATGAGCAGCCGACGCCTACCTCCTCTATCGCCGTCGGCCTCCGAGGGCACGAGCGACTGGGTTGACGCCGAGCGCGGGTCTTGCCAGCGACCGGAAAACGACGGGGAAGAGGGGCGGCTATCCTCAAACGGAGAGAGGAATTGGGCATCCTGCCTGTTCATCGGGAGCGAGACGGGGAGGTCGGCGTAGCTGGGGGAGGCTCGTTCGGAGATAGGCTCCCCGGCGGGGAAGGGAAGGCTTTTGGTCCATCGCTGCAGGGGAGGGGAATAAAATCCGCGGGCGAGCTGGGATGTTTTCTAAATCGCCAACGAGGTGTGATGCATGGCGCAAAGGCAGGTCGTGGGGGAGGCCGAGCTGGTCGAGGCTCTTATGAAAGATAAAAGAAACGAAAGACCTCCTTTTTCCACTTGGGGAGTGATGCAAGATTCAACACTCTTAGAAAATAGTTGAGAGGTGGGATGACGTACGGCGGGAAAGGGTCTCTCAAGGATGAGCAACGTCTTGGGACGGCTATACGCGTATTGGCCCGTGGATGGAGGGGTAAATAGACTCAACAGGGTTGTTAATACTTCGTACGTGAATACCGAAGAGAAATGGGCTGCGGGCTGTGTTTGTCCATGGGCCCGGACCACGTTTTGTTTGGTGCCTTTGGTGCCCAAAGTGGTGGCTTTGATGGACCTTGATTCGTCATCGCCTTCAGCGACAGTCGATGGATCCATAGATAATATCAGGGGAAGTTGCCACCCGCCAGGAACTTTCCTCAAAGGCTTAGCTAAATCTCAGTCTGCCACGCTAAAATTGATCTGAGGGACACTTGTGTCAGAACGCTAATGGTTTCTGACTATCAACTAGGGCCAGGGCGAGTAAGGACATCCCCGTCCTCGAGGCTGCTCGGCCATGCCCGTAAGCTGCTACCAGCGCTGAAACTGCGCAGAGGGATGGGCTGATATTATTGATAGATCTTCATATGGAGATGCATCTCGGTGCATCAGTTTCGACATTGCTCTTTTGTCCACCTGGGAGATTAGGAGATAGTTGAACGGCAAAAAGAGGCCGTGGGCAAACTCCGATATAACCCTTCCCTTACCAAACAAGTGAAATGCTCAGCTCTCAGTGATATTGTGTAGGGAGCTCGAGACAGGGAAGAAGCGAGAGAGAAGAAAAATGCCATGATATCATAAGTCATCTATCTGTCCGCCTTTTCTTTTTCTCTCTTCTTCTTCATTTATTCATCTTCATCGCTGCTATCCATGATGAAGCCGCCTTTGACGCGCGCTCTCGATCTTGCCGAGGCCACGGGGACGTCATCTTCCTCCTCGTCACTGTTCTGACCTGTCCCCACCATGCCTACATCGTCATCTACATCCTTGTCCCCTTCCCGCGACTTTCCCCTAGCCGTCGTTTCTCTGGTGGGCGACCATGTGGGCGGCTCCTCATCGACTGGCAGCTCGGTGTCTGAAGGGGCCTTGCCTTTATTCGAGACTCTCCTGCGCTTGCGGCGGCCAGCCCGCCGAGAGCCAGACGGTACATTCTCCTCCTCAGAGTCAGACTTGCTCGACGACTCGTCTTCTTCCTCACTATCCCCACTAGAGTCAGACTTCCCGCTGGACGCATCTGTTCCGTCCCCATCCTCGTCCTCACCCCCACTGCTGATATCCATTACCGTCTTCCTTTTCTTTGGTTTTGCCGTAGCTACCGTTCCTGGGTCGGCCTGTCCAACCGCCTCCGCCACCTTTTGATTCTTCTGCCTCAGCTCTTCCTCCTTGGCAAAAATTCCCTGTCCGCATCGCTGTCGAGATCACTATCGTACACGAACGCCTCACTCTTGATCTTAGACCGCCTTTCGCGCTCCTTGTCTCTCCTCTTCCTCGCACGCTCCTCTAGCTCTTCGTCTTCGAGCGGTTGGCTCTTCTGACGCCTGCGTCTCTTTGCCTTCTTTGGCCGCTCTTCGCCATCAATGGCCTTGCGCACAGTTGGACCACCTGCCGGGAAAAGCTCTTCATTCTCATCCTCGTCCGATGAGAGGTATGCACGAGTGCGGTTTGTTTTGCGCCGGAGCTGTTTCTCTGCCGCTTCTCCATCCTCAAAAGTGGGAGGGTTGAACTCGGCTGCGTTGATGAGATCGACGTACTCCTTGAGTTGATCTGCCGTGACCTCCGATGAGATGGTCCAGATTGAGTCCAAGGTTTCTTCGAGGCTTGGACTGAGCCTCGCGATTCCGACAGTCTTCATCAAGAGTCGTAGATAAGGGTTTTTCACCATTTCCAGGCGGCGAGCGTCAGTATCAGCTTTCACATCTGCAATGTCCATGTTAGCAATCAAAACGGGTTCGGGGGTCAACAGCATCTAGTGATCCGATGACTCACTGTAGGAAGGAGGCTCCTTGAGCTCTGTTGGTTCTGTCGTGCGGGTTGAAACCTCATTCGGGTCTCCGGCAGGCTTCTCGCCCTCTGCCCCTCCCTGTCCCCCGGGCCCTCCTCGCCCTCAGCGCCCTCAGCGCCCTCCTTGTTCCCGCCGCTCCCGGCGCTGCCCTCGACAGCTTCAACCGAAGGCAAGGCAGCCTCGGACTCCAACCACTCCCGCCTTTCCTGTTCCGCCGCGCGGAGAACACGCTTGACCCACGAAATGTGCTCCACTTCATTCCTGTCTAGTAAAGCCCCCACGACAATGGCAATCTGTTTGTCCAGCTCTTCTGTGCGCCGGAACTCGAGCTCCGCTGCAGGACGAGGGTTGGCCTTCTTCTGCTCTCGCTCTTGGCCCGTCTCGATGAAATGCGCAATCTCGTTTGTCTTGCTGAAGAGCATCTCCACAGCGAGTGCTGGCTGCTCCTGAAACTTCTTGGCACACTTCCTCAGTACCTGCTTGATAAGCTCCTCCCAATCCTTATAGAGAGCGGAATTCCTCTCTAACGGTTCCGGACCCTTGATCATACTGTAGAGCAGGTGGATGATGTCTACCCTGAATAGCATCACAGCTTTATTCTGCTTGAAGGCTAACCTGTAAAAGTAGCGGTGAATACGCTTGAGCTGGTCATCGTTGAGTTCTCGGTAATGCTTGAGAAAGATCACAAAGGTGTCAACGACATTCTGAGGAATGAAACGCTGTGCAAACGACTCGAAGCTGAACTTGCGCTCTGAGACCGTCTTTTGCGCCTGCTGCTCATCCTCATCCGATGCTCCAAGGTCGTCCCCGTCATCGCCGCCGTCTCCACCAGCCTTGGCAGCATCCCGCTTCTTCTTGCGTGCTTTCTTCCGCGATCGGACCTGCATATCCACGTTCTTCTTCGAATACGCCTCGAGCAGACGCACAAAATGGTGCGCCAGCTCCGTTGACGCGTCCAAAAACTCAAAGCCTTGGTGATTGTAATTACGAACGACGCTTGTCACGAGCTCGTGAACTGTGTCCTCGTAAAATAGACGGCTCAGAATATTCTCTGCAATCTCTTCGTCAGCCTCGTTGCCCGTAGCCGTCATATCCTGGACTGTCAGCAGGATTTGTGTGAAGCATCGCATGATGGCAATCAGGTCCTCCCAGGTCTTGTTGTCTAGGGCTATCCTCATTGACCTTTGCAAGGTGATGAACATCTCCTGTGTAAGGACGCTAGCCACGAGGTTGAAAGGGCTAACATCTTCCTCCTCTTGTGTAGTGCCCCTCGGCGTCGGCCGCATCTTTTGTCGCGCCCGTTCCGCGCGCAGGAACCACGCAACTAGATAGAAGAATTGCCTTTGGTGATAATGAAGAACATGCTGAGCATCCCGGTCGATAGATCGACGAATATGGTGGAAGAGAGGGTTGAAGCCGGAGTCTAAAAGTCGGTTACGAACCCTTTGAGTTGATCACTCGCCCGCGAATTGAGTTTGGGGGCCGGCCCGAGGTCTGTGTTATCGGCCACGTTCTTCTTGCGATACTTGGGCGGCCTGAAAGATTTGCTCTCGTCGAGCTTACGCTGTCGCGTGGCAACATCTATGAGGGCTGCTTGGCTGGAAATGGTGGACATTTTGCCGTCGTCGCGCTTCACCCAGATGGTCGTGCCAAACCTATTATGCCGGGAGGCGGCGTGCTTCTTGTGGGAGCTTTGCATAGCTTCTTCCTTCTTCATCAAGGCGACAAGATCCTCCGCTTTCGCCTTGTCCTGCTGCTTCTCGTTCATGAACAGCCAGTCCGCATCCACCCTCTTGACCAAGTGAAACAATATTTCCATGACAATCACATCTTCAGTCCTGAAATCTTCGCCCATATTTGACGCTACGGTCAACAAGACGAGAAAGATGTCTTGGTAGGAGAAAGCATCAATGAGGGCTGATCGGGATATCTGGCTTTCGTCTCCGTCATACTTTACATCTGGAGGCGGAGCAATCATGGCCACGTTTCGCAAAAGTAAAGGACAAGTTTGATAATTCCCTGGTCTCTGGCCGTGCGGTCTCCGATCGGAAGCGCCATTGAAGGCAGGGCCATTCTGATGGCGGTGTGTAGGACTCGGGTGGCATCGTGGTTGATTATCGCTCGTTTGTACTGCACCTGCGCCAGTTCAAGGACCGGCATATGACGGTAATTGTTGACGGTCAGTCGTTCTGGGTCCTTTTCGAAAGGCCAGGTAAGAGGTACCATGACTTCGAGACAGGAGAGAGTTAGCTTGGCTTTGAACTTGCTTTCCGCGTCGGCCTCGGTCCACAGCGCCAAGATCTTGAGGAGATCGCCTTCAACAACGTTGGAGTCAAATATGCAACGAGCTACGTCCATTCGGTTCATCTTTTCGTCGTAGAATCGAATCCATTTCTTAAGATCGCGGAGGACATCGAGGGCATCATCACCCAGGACGTAACGCCCGTCGTCGTCGGCACTCAGACCGCCAAGCTACACCGCCACGACGCTGCTATTAGCCCAAGATTCTTTTAGGAGCTTTCAGAATAAGATAATGCGACCACATCTCGGATTGACTTACCGCGGAGACGAGGCTGTTAATGTGGGCCCGAACTTCGGGATGGACGACATCAGTCGTCCCTTCTTCCGTCTCCATGATGGATATTGACAGGTTTGGCGTTAGGAGAAAGTATTCAAAAGTTTTATGCTCCAAGCATTTCGGATAGGGAGTATGGGCACCTAGATGATTGCCCACAATCCTGGTGACGTCGCAAATCGAACAATCAAACTTTCACTGAGTTCAGCTTTCAATTGTCGATACCCCTCTACCTGAGCTGCAAGCCACCGCTGTACATCGTCGGCGCGTGGGGTAAGCGCGTCAGATACGCGATTATCAATTAAAGTTGGCCGCAAAATCTTCGGCACAGCACTCAGCTGGCAAAACGCTGATGGCAGCTGGCATCGGCTTAATCCCACACAAGCCGAGGCACCGGGGTACACAGGGTTAGCCGCGGGCTTCAATCCGACGATGAGATCATGAGCAAGCTTGTGAAGGTCGATTGAAGACCTAATTGCTTGCATCTCGCCGCTCTCATCTCACAATCACCATTGAACCCGTTAGGAAAGCATTCAACCTCCTCTTCAATATGGCAACTCCATTCCTTCGTTTACAAAGCCGCGGGCTTGGATCCCAGCTCCGGAGCTTCAGCTCCACCTCACGTCAGAATGCGGCCACGGTCAAGAGCTTGGGTGTAATCGGCTCGGGACAGATGGTAAGCTCCTACGCATGGCAACGCTGCTCTACTTCACATACATTTCGCCTCATATTGAGACTGCGGCTTCTAACGATCTCTCAAGGGTCTCGGTATTGCGCTGGTGGCGGCACAAAAGGCTGGCGTTCCTGTCACGCTCGTGGATACGTCAAAAGCTGCCTTAGACAAGGGACTCGCCTTCGCTGGTATGTGAGAACTCGGCTTTCTAGCTCCAGTTAACCCGCCCTTGGGACATCATGCTGATGAGAAACCGATAGACAAGCTCCTTGCAAAGGACGTTTCCAAGTCTAGAATTACGCAGGAACAGGCGGACAAGGCCCGCTCTCTCCTGACTTCCAGCACTTCTATCGAAGATCTTGGTGACATTGATTTTGTTATCGAGGCCGTGCCAGAGATTCCCCAGCTCAAGTTTGACATTTTTGCCAAGCTGGCCGAGGTTTGTCCGAAGCATGCTATCCTCGCTACCAACACGTCTTCCATCTCCATCACTCGGATCGCCGCGGCTACGACCAAGGACCCCAAGGACACCTCGGCAAGCTCGCGTGTAGTATCAACCCACTTCATGAACCCTGTTCCAGTTCAGAAGGGCGTTGAGATCATCAGCGGACTGCAGACTTCACCAGAGACCCTCGAGACTGCCGTTGAGTTCTGCAAGGCCATGGGCAAGATAGCATCGGTTTCGGCCGACTCCCCGGCTTCCTTGCCAATCGCATTCTGATGCCCTATATCAACGAGGCCGTCATCTGCCTCGAAACAGGTGTTGGGGACCGTGATTCTATTGACTCCATCATGAAGAATGGCACCAACGTTCCGATGGGCCCGCTTCAGCTCGCCGATTTCATTGGCCTCGACACTTGTCTCGCCATCATGAGGGTGCTGTACGAGGAGACTGCTGATTCCAAGTATAGACCCAGCGTCTTGCTCAAAAAGATGGTGGATGCCGGCTGGCTAGGTAAGAAGAGTGGCAGGGGTTTCTATGAATATTAATGGTTAGCTCCATACTTGTAAGATCTTGAATAGACTTCACTGAACGATTCCCCTTTCATTGGGACTCGTGGATATGTGTACCCTTGTGGGAAGCGAACTTCTCCATCCTTATACCATCTAGAGCCACTCATTCATCACTACAATGATCTCGTTTCGATGACAAGCATAAATATTATCCCCTGCCTAGTTATTTCGCTCCTGGACGCAGAAGGATACTCTTCTTAAGGCTCACGCCTCGATGCCTCGTCAATACCTCGTCAATATAGCTCTAGTACGTTGGACCTCTCCGAGGACGCGGACGTGCTTGCCTAGACACCCTCTATATCACATATGTTAGTTTTGAAGGACATAATTAGGAGTGAAGCGAAAGTTTAGGGGTTTATCTACGCCTGTGAACATCTCATATCATGTCCCACTCCGTAGCAACTCTCGTATTTGAATCCCTAAAAAGCCCTTCCAAGCTTGCACGAGGGCCCTGTCGCTCTCCACCAAAGTATATGTGAATGCTTAGGCACTCCAATCAAATCGAACTAAGTAACAGCGTGGTGTTTCTTAGGAACACAAGGCTTCGTGCTTTCCATGCCATCGTACTGATCACCTCTCGGGTCCAAAGTTGGATAATACGGTAAACTATCCTCAACCTTGATGGCCTCAAGACAACGATGGGGCACTCAACGCCCATAGAACCACGCGGAACGGCGGAGGCGATAACATACGACGACCGACTCCATCAAGGGGGCGTAGGCCTCGGCACCGCGGTGGCCATGTTGTGGCGAAAACGCGCTATCTCTACAGACCGCCTCTACTAGATCACAAGAACGCGCTCCAGTAAGAAGGGGGGCAAGGTAAGTCTGGTACTGCTAGCGGCTGGTTCTCGTTTCGAGAAGGGCCATTGTGATGTCCGTCGTGAGTTGGCCGTCCTCGTCTTAGCCTCACACCCTATATGTCGGAATAGACCTTTCACTGCCCTCTTCTAGGATCCACGTCCCTCAGGCGAGGGAGTGTCTGCACTGGGCGAAAGAGGCAGAAACCACCCCGACCTAGCGTGGACGTACGATTGTTCTCCTACGGTTTCCGGATTTTGACAGCCGGCGATTGGGAATCGGAGGACGAAGAAAATCCTCCGCCATCATCTTTCTTGGATCAACTCCCCGCATATGGCTTACCTGGGCATCTCGCTGGCCGTCCACAGAGGCCGGAGGCAAGTGATAGGTTCGCCTGCCTTCCGCGTCCTTGAGATCCTCCCTCCTCTGTCGCGACACGCTCCTTCCCCGATCAAACATTCATGCGCAGGCCTCCCACGAGCAGCAGACCTTCCTTGAAAGCAGGGCGAATGGGGGACGGCCGGCTCCAGCGGGTGTATCATAGGATCGAGTGATGCGCGATATAGAATACCGCTGAAGGACGTCATAGTAAATCAGAAGATCGCCCATGTTGCCCATAGCATGAGGCGAGGAAATCCCCCTCCCCCTCGGACACTTACACCCTCCTGACAAACAACGCGTCGCAGTATCGCCAAGCTTCTTCACCACACGCGCTAGCCCTTCTCAAGCCCCTTCCAGCCTTCCCTTTTCCCTTTTCTACTTGTCATATCCACCTAAGCTATATGAGAAGGGCCTCATGCTTAATCGGGAGTTTAGAAGGAAGCACGAATGGGAAAACAGGGAAAACGGGAATGATCGACCGGTGATAGACCCCCACCCAACCTCCTTTGAAAGAAAAAGAGTGAGAAAAACCGCTTCGCTTCCTATTCGAGGGGCGCGAGCTAGCTACCCGATCCCAGGTCGGACGTGCCTTTACACCCCCTCCTCTTCCTCCTTCTCATCATAAGCCCTTCTCTTATGGCTTTCGGACACGACGATGGGTCGTATTTCTCAATCATTAGTCAACGTGGACACGCTCGCCTTCTTACAATCCATCATATCACAGGGTTGCGGCCTCTTTACTTGACACATGGATCTTGAGCCCCGAATCCTGGTGAGCCACGTTCTCCATGCATCCGGTGACAGAAGAGCTTCGAACCAGAAAGGGAAAGGCTGGTAAAACAAAGAGCTCCCAGAAACGTCGACCTTGATACGCTTGCGCCCCGCACTGGATGCAGGAGAAAAAACGAGCAAACTGGGATGAGGTCCCTTCTCTCTCCCGGAATGCCCGCGTACCTTGCATCGAAGACGAATAGAAGAGGGAGGGGTAGCTAAGGTAAACAGGACAATAGCGTAGAACCGTCGGTGCAAGCGGCCACTCGTCCGCGCGACGGATTGGCTAGCAAGGAAGGCCGACGGGAAGATGGCTCCGCCGTCATGCCCTCCCCTTCCTCTCTCTACTCCTCTCTTCCCGAACCTCGTGTCATACGCCCTCCGCAAACGGGCCCTAGTTCTCCCATTCCCAATTGATGATTCCCGCCCTGTCAACCCTCCTAATTTCTTCTTGCGGTCCCTCTCCCATCCCGCTGCTGTACCCCAGGCCTGAGCTTGGAGACAACCACTTGCTACTCGGTCACTGGCGGCGACCCGAGCTATAGCTCCTCCGAACCCCACATCTGTTCATTTTTCCCCTCCCCTAGCATGATGGTTCATGCCCCTCCCTTCAGATTCATTAAAAAATGGAACGAACGAGCCAACCAGTGCCTGGACCAGGCGGCATTATTCCACGGGAAGCTTGAGCAAGCGGTGTGGTGGGCACTCAAATTGGCCCACCTGAACTCTGCACAACCTCAGAAACAAGCGGCCCCAAAATCGAAAAGGAAGCGAAGACTATCATCATCCCCACACAGATATACCCTTCACAGAACTCGAGCTACATGGGCTTGACCGCTGTACCACCTTGTAAGCTTGGTCTCGCCTCCAGCTTCTCCTTGATCCTTGGGCCGGCCGGCGATGAACGTGACCTAAAGAATCCCGTCTCACTCGCGCCTCCATGCATTCGTTGTGATCTTCGGGTTAAGCTTGGGCGAACTGGCTCTCGTCAGCTGATTCCAACTTGCCGTCTCTGTGCTTCGGAATTCCCAGAGAGCTTCTTTCGGAACCGCATTTGGGGGCAAGTTAATAGCCACCCCCATGCAGCCTCTAGCACCCAGTACAGACTCTCGCAACCGGAATCTTCTCTGCCAAAGCTATCCATCCTGCTAAGCCCCTACCTCAAGGAAGAAGTAGTGCCCGATGTCCTCCCACCCCCAGAATTACCCCACAGCGAGCGGGCGCTGGGTGTGTGACACACGGCCAGAGAGTCGCCAAACCAACATTGCTCTCCCCGTGGTATTTCCCAACCCGATTCGTTTCGATATACCTGTCTGTCAAGTGGCGCTAGGCATATTGATACTGTTACGACTACTGCTACTACTCTTACCACTGCCAGGGCCACGCCCATGCCCTCCCTTCAAGCGGGATCATGTTACAAATTCAACCGCCCAGCTGATTTTGGTTAGCACCGGGATGCGCTAACAGCCGCGGCCGTCGGTCACGGCGGTGGAAGGGCTACTAGAGCTGGGCCAAGTCGAGCGGGCCACCTCTCGTGGCCATCGCTCACGGAACCGGATGAGGAGTGAATCCAGAAACGTCGGAGGGTGCCTCGAAAAGGTGCGAGTGGATCTATCAGAGAGCCCGGGACAAACAAGGAGAAGCCTGAACAGAGAAAAAGAAAGCCACATGTACGTGTAATTAGCAGGGACTGCGGCCATCCTCGGGTATCGGGACCCCACCTCGAGGTGGCAAGCGTGGTTTTTGCTGGCCTCGCAATATGTCACTTAGATGAGTTTTCCGAACGAAGCGTGAAATCCTTCATATATAAGACAGACCAAGTACCGGAACTGGTCAACTCCCGGGAGCCGGTGGCGCGTGTCAGTGGAGATTTTCATTCAGCAAGAGGCGGTTGTCCCAGCTGTAACCGGCCATGTACACGATACCAAGGTGATCCGCGCGAAGAAGCAGGAGTGGTCTGTTTATCCGCCGGGATCTTTTCCACAACTTCAGAGCCGGATGGCCCAAAAGTAACTCAGGTCCCTCTACCACAGTGGAGAGGACAAAGGAAGGCCAGGAGGGGCAATGGGATCAAAAAGAGGGAAACGAAAAAAAAAAAAACGAGAAAGAGGAATAGACGGAGCAGGAGAGGAGGGGGAAAATAGCGGTTCAATCCACAAGGAAGGTGATAGCACAAGAGGAAGGTCTGGCAGAGCCCCGCTCCTTCTTCCTTCTTACTCTCCATCCTTTGTCTCTGGCAGGCACGGGCGACGCCCTTTGTTGCCAATTTTCGCTGAAGAGAACATCTCAATTGATATTAAGCGTGAACCTAAAGTACCCGTTCCCTCCGCCGGCGAAACAATTGCAGGACTAGACGGCCATGTAATATATCTTTATGGAGAGGTTGGCGGTCTTTGCCGGACAGGAATAGCACATTCGGTCTCGGGCGAGCGATCCACCAACTCGCTTCTGGGAAAGCACAAAAGACGGATCTCACTTTGGCAAAGAAGCGAGATGAATATCCCCGCGCTTCCGCAGTCGCTTGAGATGTTCGTGCATTGAGCTCATGAACACAGTGGATTTAACAGTCAGAGATTCTATTTATGGACGGAAGAGAGCTATCGAGAGAAGAATCTCCTGAAGCGAGGCTCTGACAATGACATCCAGCGAGTTTGTGTGGATCAGCCCAGATCCAGACGGCCTTGTTGCTGCTCGTTTTATGAGTCGCCCGGTCGGCGACAAGGCACTCCATCGGCAGGCCAAAGACAAAGAAAACCGACCTACCTTCGTCTCACTACCCGCGTATGTACCCCAGAAACTTGCGGGATTCGTTCGAAGCGTGCCCCGTGAGGTATTTTCTGGTGTTAGCGCTGTCTGTCTGGCCGCCGCCAGTTGACCGCACGGCATGATGGATTTCCTGCTGCGCACATCGTGTCCGTGGCCCGGCATACCACGCGCGTGGGAGTTGAGGAGCGCGGCTTTTCTAGCACCGGCGGCCTGCACCCGCCCGCAGCTTCCAGTCCAAGAGCCCGAGAGCAGCAACTC